CCCCCCCCCCCCGAGGCCCATTGAAAGCACAGAGGGAGTCCCAGGGGTCTGTATTTGTGACAGTTTTCCAGGATTGCCAGGCTGCTGGGCCTCTGGCAGCCCTTGGAGAAGCTCTCAGGCCCAGCTCCTGCCACCCCACCCACGCCACTAGGCTTTCTCTGGCCAGTAAGGACCTGACCCCTGGAGAACGTGCCCAGCCCCATCAGCTTCCTCTCCCACCTGGAGAAGGCACAGAGCAAGACAGCACTGCTTAAGAGCAGGGCCGCCCCCTCGAGGGAAGTGGAGGCCAGGGATTCCCCACCCCCACCCCCCTCCAGAGCTGGGCCAGGCGCCCTCAGGGCTCCATCAGGGCTGGTCGGGAGAAATCTGGGTGGTCAGATCACTCCTCTAAGGACTGATTGAAAGGAGTTGTCTCCGGATGGGCTCTGGGGCCTGGTCCTTCAACCAACCCCTGGTCCTTCAGCGGAAGGACGGAGGGGTGGGCGGGCGGCCTGTCTGAGTCATCTGTGTAGCCCCACGTGTTCAGCCCTGCCTGTCATCCTCCACCCATTCATTCATTCCCCCGAGACATTGCATGTACCAGGTACAGGCGAGGAAACGGTGAACCGCCGTCAAGAAGGGCCCAAAGCAACAGGGAAACAGGAAATTACAAACCGTAATGAGTCGGGACATAAAGGGAGAAGCCCTAGGCCTTGCTGAGCAGTGAAGAGATGCTAACCCAGGGCGAGGAGTCAGCAAAAGCAAGGAAGAGGGGGAGATGGGGGAGGGGCAGTTTGCAGCCTGGGGGCCCTCATACCTGGATGAACTGCTCAAACTTCTGGATGTGGGCCTTCAGCTGGGCCTCCTTGATGCCCAGCTCCTCCCAGCGCAGGTTCAGGGTTTCCATTCTACGCTGAAATGTCTTGGAGTGGGGGCAGCAGAGAGGTCAGGAGGGCCCCTGCACCTCCTGCCCCCAGGGCCTCTGCCCCCAGGCCTCCCACCTTCTACCCTGCGCAGGACTCCGGGCTCCAGCCACGGGCACCCACACAATGGGGGGGGGCGTCCTCAGGCTCCAAACCCCACTGCCCTTCCCGCACTCCACTCCCGAGTCCCCACCTCCTTCTTCTGCTCCATAACTTGGTGCATGATCTTGGCCTCCTTCTTCTTCTCCAGGAGCCGGATGGATGGGGACTCCGACTGATCGTCAATGTTGGGGAACTTTCTGCCCAGGACATGGGGTGGGAGAGGCTGGTGGGTGCTCAGCACCCCGGGGGCAGGCTGGGGCTTGGCCAGCCCGTGGGGAGGCAAGGGGGGGGGGCCGCCGTCCCGCGCGTGGGGCGGGAGGGATGTGTGGGGAGGGCTGTGTTGGCATCTGGGAATGGGGGGGCAGGGCTACAGGTGCTGGGGGTCTGGGTGGGGTGGTGGATTGGTGTCAGGGTCAGGGGGCAGTGACTTGGGGCTCAGGGTTACCGGGGGGGGGAGGGGCATGGCAGGGGGGGGCATGGACCCCGAGAGACTCACTGCAGCAGTTGTAACAGGCGCTCCCCATACTGCAGCCGGAAGTACTCTGCCAGGTCTTCCTCCTCCATGATGCCCAGACTCATGCTGCTGCTGACCCAGGGGGCCCGGCGGCCGGGTCCTCGCAGGGAAACGGTGGCTGGGGGAGCCGCAGGTGGCTCCGGGGTGCTGGCTGGGCTCTTGCTTCTCCCTTCCTCCTGCTTTTCAGGGTCCCACGGAGGGAAAGACAGCGGGAGGCTGGTGGGTCAGCAGCTCGGGGTGAGGTGTTGGCAAATGAAGGGAGATCTGGTTACCTGGCAACAGGCCTGGTTCTGTGGACCACCCATGGAACCCAGGCTTTGCTCTCTGACCCTTGTCCCCCGCTGACCGCAGTCCTGCTGGAATCCTGCGTTCTGCTCCTGCATTTACCCTCCCCCCCCACACACACACCCCAGGAACTCTGGGGAGAAGTTAGGCCTGATTAGATGCTGGTGTCCAGGCCTGGGAGGCAGGGTCTGGGGGTCCATGACCTCACAGGGGGGTTCCGGTGGAGGGGTGTCCTTGGGGGTTCAGGTGTGTGTGTGAGGGTCAGAGAGGGCCTGGGGCTGGGACAGATGGCCCAGAAGAAAAGGAGGCAGGGGTGGGGGCCGGCGGGAGGGTGGGAGGGTGGGAGGAGGCCAGAGCTTGAGAACCAAGGGGTGGGCGAGGGTAGGCGGGGAACCTGGGGACCAAAGAGGCCACCCCGGGGGATGTGGAGGGGGACCCCCCCCCGGGGGTGTAGCCGACTCAGGGCCAGTGCCATCAAAATATGAAGAAAAGCCACATCCTGGTACCGCGACCGTCTCACACGTGTCCCTCATCAGAGCTGCCTTCCTTGATCCCGTCAGAGCACTGGGCACGAGCTCACTGGGGCCCCGGGCCGACGCCCAGACTGGACACCCCGTGGGAGGCGGGCGCCGAGAGGTCCCGGGCGGGGGTGACGGCCGCGACCTCGAGTCCCCGCTGCGGGACATAGGCTCCCGGCTGCGCGCCGTCCCTTCTGTTCCCCGCCCGCGCGGGCCGCGGGGCTCGGCCCCTCCGGGTCTGGGGCGGGGGTCCCTCCGCGGCCCGGCGGCGCCGGGACCCGAGAAGCCCACCCCGCGGCATTGCCGGTCCTCTGGCGCCCCCTGCTGGCCGCCCGACGCGGGGGGGGGGGCCGAGTGGGAGGCGCGGTGGGGGCGCTGCCCAGCCCCCTCCTCACCGTCCCCCCCCACCGCCGCCGTCCCTTCTCCCCAGCCCCCCTCCGGAGCAGTCCGCCGCCCCCCGGGGCCAGGGGTGGGGGAAGCAGGACAGCTCCCACCCCACCCTCAGGCCCCCAGCCCGCAAGGGTTCTCACCGGGGGCGCCCCAAGGAAACGGAGCCGGCAGGATGACTGTAGGGTCCGCAAAAGGGGATGTTTCTCTCCTTGTGCATTGCTAGAGTCCGGCACAGTCAGTTTGGGCTTTACCTTCTTCCGCCCCTTGAGGAGGGGCCTGTCTGCTTCTCGGATCCCCGGCTTGCCCTGGTCCGTCTGGACGCATCCTTGGTCGCGTCTATGCAATCAGGCGGCCCAGGGCCACGTTGGTGCATACAGGTGGCAGCTAAGGGCATCCTCACCTCCTGGGCGGGCACCCCTCCTGCCTGGGAGCTCTTTCTGTTGCTTCCTCTGGACCTCGCTTGAGAACCTCCCTCTCCATTGCCCACCACCGTCCTTCTCTGGGGTCTCACTGCTCTTTTCGGGGGCCATAGGGACGACGCAGGGCTGCCTGGGATTCACAGAACTCCCGCACTCTTCCTTCCCTGGGGGAGCCCAGCTTCCCTCCCCGCGCCCCCTCCACCCCAGCCTTTGTCCATCTTGCTGTTTGCCTCTGAGGCATCTAGAAGATCTCCTGTTGGATTTAGGCTGTGGGAAAACAATAGGCATTTCTGTTTTCTGTATCGGGGGCTCCCTGCTCAGCAGGGAGTCTGCTTCTCCCTCTGGCCCTCCCCCCATCTCATGTGCTTTCTCTCTCATTCTCTCTGTCCCTCCAATAAATAAATAAAATCTGAGAAAAAAAAAAAAAAGGACAGGAGGAAAATATCAGGAGAAAAAAAGCTCTATCTAGGTTCATATCTTAAAAAATGTTATCCTGCATATCCATACAGAACAGCATAGTGCTGGGGACACAATCAAGTACTGGGTGTGAGGAAATCACATTTTGTCCATGTTACATTCCAATTCCATGTATGTCTTATAGTCCCCGTAAGTGGAGTCACACAGATGAATTTTATTAATATGTTTCAAAAGGACTCCTCGTATGGGTTGAGTATGTTTCAATGGCTTAACAAGGTCTTTGTCAAATGTTTTTTCTTTTTTTTAAAGATTTATTTATTTATTGAGAGAGAGAGCATGTGGGGGTGGGGGGTGGGAGGGAGGGTCAGAGGGAGAGGGAGAGAGAAAATCTTCAAGCGGACTCTCCGCTGAGCGCGGAGCCCAATGCAGGGGCTTGATCCCATGATCCCCAGACCATGACCTGAGCGCAAATCACGAGTAAGGATGCCTGACCAACTGAGCCACCCAGGTGCCCCTCAGATGCTTTTCTTTCTTTCTTCCTTTCTTTCTTTCTTTCTTTCTTTCTTTCTTTCTTTCTTTCTTTCTTTCTTTCTTTCTTTCTTTCTTTTCTTTCTTTCTTTTTCTTTCTTTCTTTCTTTCTTTCTTTCTTTCTTTCTTTCTTTCTTTCTTTCTTTCTTTCTTTCTTCTTTCTCTTTCTTTCTTTCTTTCTTTCTTTCTTTCTTTCTTTCTTTCTTCTTTCTTTCTCTTTCTTTCTTTCTTTCTTTCTTTCTTGATTTTATTTATTTGAGATACAGTGAGCGAGAGAGAGCATGAGCAGGGGGAGGGGCAGAGAGAGGGAGAAGCAAACTCCCCGCTGAGCAGGGAGCCTGATGTGGGACTCAATCCCAAGACCCTGAGATCATGACCTGAGCTGAAGGCAACCACTTAACTGAGTGAGCCACCCAGGCGCCCCTCAGATGCTTTTTCTACATGTATTGAGATGATCATGTGTCCTTTATCTTTTATTCTGTTAATATGGTGTCTCATATGGAATGATTTTCACATGTTAAACCAAACTTGCGTCCCAGGGATCAACCCCATTTGGTCTTGGTGTATACTATTTTTGATGAGTTGTTGAATTCAGTTTGCTAGTATTTTATTGAGGATTTTTGCATCTATGTTCATCAGAGATATCGGCCTGTAGCTCTCTTGTGGTGTCTTTCCCCTGACTTTGGTATCCGTGTGATGTTGGCCTCATAGAATGAGTTTGGAAGTGTTCCCTCTTCTTCTATTTTTTTGGAAGAGTTTGAGAGGTTTTGGTATTAATTCTTTGGATGTTTGGTAAAGTTCAGTCGTGAAGCCATCAGGGTCCTGGGCTTTTCTTTGGAGGTTTTAGATGACTAGTCCAATCGCCTTATTTGTTATTTATCTGTTAAGTCTATTTCTTGTTGATTCACTCTTGTTAGGTTCTATGTTTCTAAGAATTTATCAATTTCTGGGTTATCCAATTTGTGTGCATCTAATTGTTCATAATAGTCCATAATCCTTTTGATTTCTGAGGCATCTGGTGTGATGTCTCCTCTTTCATTTATTTTATTTATTTGAGTTTTCTCTCGCTTTTTTCTCAGTCTAGCTAAGGGTTTGATTTCACTTTTCAAAAAACCAACTCTTAATTTTATTGATTTTTTTCTATCCTCTGATTTATTTCTGCTCTGATCTTTATTATTTTCCTTCCTCTGCTAACTGTGGGGTTACTGTGATGTTCTTTTTCTGGTTCCTTGAGGTGTAAAGTTAGGTTGGTTTGTGGTTGTGTTTTTTTGTATTTTTGTTTTTTTGAGATATTTCTTTTCAATATAGGCATTTATTGCTATAAACTTCCCTCTTAGTGCTGCTTTGGTGCATCTCATAAGTTTGTCCTCGTTTTTGTTTGTCTCAAGATAATTTTTAAGTCTCCTTTTGATGTCTTCTTTGACCTACTGGTTGTTCAAGAGTCTGCAAGCTTACATTGCAGATGGTTATTGGTCTTAAGTATAAAAGTAAATTATGTTTTCTGCCCCTGGTGAAAGAGCTGTCAGAATATAGCCTTGATGCAAAGAGGTGCCATAAGCCACAGGTGAGCCTCTGGAGACAGTTTAAATTCTGACCCAAAGCATATGGAGTCTTCATTTTCCTGCATCCACACCAACACTGTATATTACCAGTCTTTACATTTTTTTTTTGCCAGTCGGGAGAAAATGATAGTTTATTGTTGTTTTGTTTTAATGTCCCTAATTATTGGTGAGGCTATGCATCTTTTCATGCATATAGCCATTTCTTCTGTTTGTTTCCTGGTCATATTCGATGCACATTAAGAAATTGAGGGGTTTTTTTTGTATTTTTGTTGATTTATAGGATATAACTGATATGTAAGAGATATTGATTATATCAATATATGTCAATATATAGGATATATTGATTCTGGATAGTAATCCTACATTTCTGATGCTCTTCTCTACCAATCCTTTTTTTTTTTTAAAGATTTATTTATTTATTTATTTGAGAGAGAGCGAGAGAGCGAGCAGGGGGGCAGAGGGAAAGAGATACTTTGGTAGACTCCTCACTGAACTCAGAGCCCGATGCAGGGCTCGATCCCACGACCCTGAGATCATGACTTGAGCCAAAACCAAGAGTCAGACACTCAACCGACCGCACCCCCCCCCAGGGACCCCACCAATCCTAGCATTTTTGAGGCAGTTGGACGAGCATTTGATGCAAGAAGAGATAGGGGAGGCAACCCCGTGCCCCCATCACAGGAGATACAGCAGACCTGCAGTCCCCAAGAACATTTTGAGCTCTTAGGCTCAGTGCAGACCCTCTTATTACTAAGCCTAAGTCTACCCCTCTGTGAGTGCCTTCTTTGACATTGCACAGACTCTTCCCAAACTCCTCTCAGACCTGACCTGCCTCCTTTGCATGTGGTTTATGGTATCAGTGACACCGGGTTCTATCCCGTGACAGAACCTGTCTGCAGTGCTACCTGCCCATTCCATTTGCTTGTCCCTCCTCCCATACCATAGCTTTCTCTTAGGACCAATATTGCCCAATATAGATATGCAAATATTTTCTCCAAGCTTATTGTTTGTCTTTTAAATTGCTGGTTCCTTTTATCATAGAAATTTAAAATATTTATCCAAATATGTTGATCTTTTTTTTTTTATTTTTGGGGGTTGGGACTTTGGTGTTTTGTTAAAAAAAAAAGTCTTACACACTCAAAATTATGAGT